GGGGCCTTTGCAGAAATGCCCCTGGTACTGTACGTGTCACCGGTACTTATACCGGCTTCCCGTACGGTACGGGGACCAGTCTCGTACCAGCTTTCTACTGCTGTACTCGTACTCAGTGTGACTTGCTGTTTGGGCCTTCGAAACCAAGACTTCGACGTTTGCCTCAGCCCCTGGTTTTGCGTCCGGTCGAGTTCAGTCGCGCGAGTGAGTGAGTGTGTGTGTGTGCTCTCACTCTCTCTTCCTCTCTTCCCTCCTCGTCCTCTGCCTCTGCACCCGTTACAGGAACCATTTTCTGAAATCTCTTGAAATAATTTTCCAGCCCATACTAAGTGGCTGTGTGGTACCACAAAACTCTTCCAGCACGACAAGAGATCAGCCACAAGCACAAAAGGGACATATCTCGATTGGAATCGGTGTAAAGTGCTGAGCTCTGCAACCGATTCCACACACATGTCACGGGCTGACGACACTGGTGCTATGTTCGAGCTACGAAGGCATGAACCTGGTAAGAAAAACGGTCAGGTTCTTGCTCACTTGGCACAGACCCATCATAAGTGCCACCTGAACATACGTAAGAAAATTCCCACCCCTAGAGCATTTACCACATGTGCAAGAAGTGTCTGGAGAACATTTCCCGAATGAGAAGACACCACTGTGCAACCCACTACGAACATCCTCAGGGACTATGCAGGTATGATTTTGACAAGCCTCATTTCCACCTCACGAGCATAGAGTGAATTAAGGATTCTACAGATGCTGGTGAACTTGCTGCTGGGGTAACCAACTGGTTTATCAAAAGGAGCACACACTGTATATCACACGCACATACTGTACATCACACGGACATACTGTACATCACATGCGATAGCCGCAGGGAGGAGGGCATGCACGGAAAAGCAGGCAGCTCACCGAATGTGCCATCTTCATTTCGCCGCCAATACCGTAAGTAATAAAGATCGCGTGGCCACACAAAACTGCCAAGAAGAAAGCAATGCACAAGTTCGAAGGGATCTGTGTCAAGATCCAGCCATTTGGAAAGTCGCCAGTCAAAATCTCAGGCACTGAGAACTGGAGTATTCTGCCGTTTCCGCCACAATGGCAATCACAACAGTAAGCGAGACCCAGAACAGCACCCAAAATCCATATACTCGCAAACAAATGTAACATGACTCGGTCTGATGGATGTACAACGACCCAACTCAATTTTGCAACCATGCAAGCCCTTAAAAGTTCACATGACACTTGCAAATCAAAACAACGAGAGAGATGTCAGCAGAAACTCTAAATTATTATTCCAACTTACAAAATTGTTGCAATAACCAGAACATCAAGTGTCAGGCAGCTATGGCCACCGAGAGCAACACGCTCAGGTACACTCTCTCTCTCTCTCTCTCTCTCTCTCTCTCTCCAACTTACCAAATTGTTGCAATAACCAGAACATCAAGTATCAGGCGGCTATGGCCACCAAGAGCAACACAATCACGTACTCTCTCTCTCTCTCTCTCTCTCTCTCTCTCTCTCTCTCCCTACCTCCCAGATCGAACCTCTTTGGATGCTCTCAGCACTCACTCTCTCCTTACTACTATGTCGCTCTTATCCATCCCTTGACCCTAGCTATGGCACACAGCGTCAGGCAAGTCCTCCAGTTCCCCCAACGACTCTCACTCGAAACTTCGCACAAGCATACAGAAGCACTTCCGCAACATGCCACCCAACAAAGAGTGCCCAAGTACTGTAGCAGATTTTGTAGTAGCTGCAATTGACATTTTTTGTCTGGTCCAAACCAGTAACGAACCCCCAGGGCCTGTAGGCCGCAACTTGTTCCCGGACTTTCCCTGAATGACTCGAACTGGACTTTTTCTGTCGGGTACCAGTGCCTACCAATCTACCAGACTTCTACCGATTTGGACTCCTAATGACTTACCGGACCTGAATCAGCGTCTCAGCCTCAGAGCCTGCCGGTTTGTCTCTAGTACAGGCGACCAGAACCTCGGGACATCTGGGACCCGAACACGGGACTGGAGTGACATGTGAAATCCTTTTGAATGCACGGTTATTCGGACTATTGTAAGATGATGTGATGTGGCCTTTTCCAAAAACAGAGGTTGGGCATCAGTTGTATGTTTTATCCCCTCTCCACCGTCAGAATACGTCAGTAGACTCAGTACACTTGTCAACAAGGATGTACGCTATGTTGTAAATTAAGGATTGGATACTCAGTGCAACATTAGCCAAAAAAAAAGCTGCACTAAGGGTCTCTCTCCACCGCTCACCGTATTCACAGAAGACAAATTTTGGCAGTGCAACTTTCCATGTTCTAACGGAAGATTCATTCTCACTTTGCACATTTGGTAACTGGTGCAGTGAGGCCCTCAAACTTGTAATTTCCAGAGTGCGTGTGACTTAAATTACAGCCAGGTTCAGTCAAGAGTTTGACCAGGGTTGCTCGCCATACCATGGAGAGGGTGTCATAGCTTCATGCATGCATCCAATGAAGGAGCAATCAATGCTGTTCAGGGGTCCTTCAGCCAAAAGGAAGAAAGCATGGGTGCGTAAGTATTGTAACGTATTGACTTGCCCGTGGAAAAGGAACTGGACTGATGCTCCCCAGAATGGGACGGAGCCAGGATCATAAGGACCTGTTTTCCAATTAAAAAAAACAAGTGGACC